TTAGGGTTAGGGTTTAGGGTTTTGAATCTCCCAAAATCTTTTAAAAAACGGAGAGCCAAAACCTGGAAATACCTCAAAGCTTAATCCCCGTATGGACAGCCCCACGATGTAGGCTTCTATATTGGGATTTTGCGGTTAAAGGCAGAAAGGTTGTGGAAGGTTGTGATTTTTCGTTGTGCTCAGCTTCTTTCCGGCATGTATGCGGTTTTGTGGGGTGTGGAGCTTGGTAAAAAGTTTGTCGGGCCGTATACCAACCTTTTTTTACATGGCTGGTAGATTTCGAGCTTTATGCAGACCCAGGACGCAGAGTTCCAAAACCCGACACTTGAGACATCGGTCTCCTTTCTCCGGAGCGAAACATCTACCCAAACCGGTTCAGTTCCATACCCTACACCCAACCGGTTGGAAGTACTGGCTGCTGCGAGTATGCACACACCTACTTTGTGCTTGGAGTGGCCCCTTTCAGAAGCTCCGTGTCGAAACAGTGCAGTCAGTGCATCGAAGTTGCGCCGGGGACATTGCGGCCGGCTGGTAGTACCTCTGCTGTCTCGTCTTTCCATGTTGAAGGTTCGAGGCCCTAGAGCCTAAATATCGAACCCCTTTCATGAAACTATATAGAGCCTCATTATGCCCTGAGCCCGAAACCCGTAAACCCTGTAATAACCCCTAAACTAAAGCCGAGCGCCCTAAACCGCAGTTAGGGTTCGAGGGCAGGCTTGGCTTTTTGACACAGATACTTATAAACCCTAAACCTCTTGAACATATCTCAGACTCTAAAACTACAGCTCTGAGGACTTCTATGTTGACGCTTTTCAGCCCAACAAGGCCATACTAACAGGGCTTCTGAGCCTTAGTGTTAGATTAAACACCTTATGTGTTTAGTGTATCCCGAAGCCTAAGAAAAAACACTGCAGAATCTCTACACGTCTCTGGCCTAGTCTAACGAACTACACCACAAGTGAAGGTTCACGTATATGTAGGGCACAAGCATGCGCAGGGACCATTTTGAGCCCGAAACTGTAAAAGGCTCAAGTTTTCCTCCTAAGCCCTACATCCTGAAACTAATATGCCGGAGGCCAAAGGTTAAAGATGTGCTACAAGAAAGGACCGGATGAAACCAAAGACCGTGCATTACTTGCTTTTCCCTACGAACTAAAGACCTAATAAAGGGGTCTTTATAATTAGAATAGGGTTTTGGAGCCATTACACTATATCTTTAATAAGGACCCACCAAAATAGTATAGGTAATTATTAAGGACCCTATATTACACCCGCAAAGCCGTAAAGCCCCAAGCTCGAAACCCCGAAACATTGAACGCCCTAAGCCCTTGCATCTGCCCCCGAAGCATGGAGTCCGTCTATGCACACCCACCTAGATCCTTGGGTTTAGGGTTTAGGGTTTAGAGGTTTAAGGGTTTTGGGCTTAGGGTTTACGGAGAAGTTAAGTCTAAGTCTAGAAAGTTGGAAGGTAGGGATATGTGTTGATGCTCCACATGTGTTGCTTCTGCATGTCGTTCCGCCCAACACCCAAACTGGGCTCTGAGCCCTATAGCACTTAGAAGCCTTACATTCTTATCCCCCCATAAACCAGAAACTTTGAACACATAAGTGCTAGCAATTGCATATTAAGGACCTCTATATCAAGGTACCTCTAGCTTCAGAAACCCTAGACCCCTAAATCTCTAACCTTCAGTAGACCAAGCCCAATGAGCCTTCAGGTAAACCCTGTAGCCAAGCTTCCAGGACGACATGTTTAAACGTTTTTGGCATTACGCTTTAGGGGCTAGGGGTCTCCCCCCGCCATGACCCTCCGTGCATCAAAGCTGCGCCGTCGACATTGCGGTCGGCTGACAATACATGGTGACCAAAGCGTTAGAGACCCTAAACCCTAAACCCTAAACCAGAACCTGACCCTAAACCCAGATGTGAAAGCAAAACAAATCCTTGAGAGTTTACAACTTCCGGGGCTTAAGACACCCACAGCCCGGGGGACGCTTGGGGTTTCTAAGTTCAGGTTTCCGGGTTTTCTGCAACCCTAACCGACTACCGAGATAGCATCCCACTAACTGAAACTGAGGGTGTCGTGTGCTCGCGGTTTGGGACGGTTGATGGCCCTACAGCTGCGAGCCAAGTCGTAGGACGTCCGCAAGCCGATATCTACTGGCCCGGAGGCTCAATGGATAAGCAGCATGGAACTTAGCTTCTCGGACTACAAATTAGGAAACTACAATTGCACTTAGAACGTTACTTACAGAGTCCCATGATCCGCCTCGTCCCCTTAAGCCGACCTAGCGACTTAGCTGTAATACAAGCGCTTTAGTGATCAGAATGGGGTTCTGGGGGGCTCCTCTGTATAGTTCTAGTAGACTGGGCCCCAAAACCCTGTTCGAATTATTAAGGCCCCTACGTTATGGCGGTGGGACGATTCCCTGCAAGGTCCGCACAGGGCACGACTTTTTATCAGGAGCATTTGACTACCCTTGTGCCACTGCCCAGACGCTCAGTCATCGGCTCCTTCGCTGTCTCTTTGGGCATGAGCCCCGTGCTCAGGAAGCCGCCCGCGATCTTCAGTGCAGCCAGGAAGAGCAGGCAGCTTGCAGCCGTCAGGCGATGTAGTTGATGGCCAGATACCTTGAGTGATAAAACCGACACCGAATGCATCACGGCCGCAGCAGTACTAAAGGCCTTCGCTCTCAGATCTGTCGGGAATGCCTCAAGTGTCCACATCTGCGCGGATTCCCACGCAAAGCACCGACATGTTGCAGCCAACATACCACAGAAGACTGCGAAATAGTACTGATGGGGTTCACGAGCATCCAAAATTCCGACGATCGCAAGCAGCACGCCCTGGACAAAGAAGCCGATAACGAAGCTGCCAGCCCTTCCGATGCGGTCCACAATCATGATGGAGACGGCGATGCCACAGAGGTCTCCAACATTGAAGAGCATAAGGATGTGTGTAGGCAGCTGCGGAGACTCCGGTGCTAGAAGGGTATGGTACAGCCCCGGACCCCAGGTGTCCAGTAAAACGGTTGTAGAGGCCAAGACCGCGAAAAGCAGGCAAGCAAAGAGCAGCAAGTGACGGCTGCCCCTGCCAAACAGCCTCGACCATGTCCGACTCTCATCCGATGGCCCAGCATTGGCACTGGCTTTGTCGAGGCAAAGTTGGGAGCACGGCTTCCACGGTGCCTGCCGGTTGCTCGCATACAGCCTGGTCAGTACGTCGTTGGCCTCACTCAACCTACCCGAAGCCACCAAGAAACGCGGAGACTCTTCGGACAAGTGCATGACTATGAAGAGCGCCATAAATCCGAAAGCGCTCAGAGACATGAAGAAGCTCCAGTCTTCTTTTGCCATGGAAGCCGTAAGGATCACGGCAGCCCTTCCAAGTGGCCAGCCAAGGCTGTACACCGCCATAAGGGTGCCGCGGTAGTTCGTGGGCAGGAACTCGATGTACCACGTGCTGAGTGCAGCTCTTGAAATTGCTATCACAACGGACTGCAATACCCTCAGCCCAAGCAAAATCCGGAAGGACGGAGCCACTATGCTGGCTAGACTTACGGCAACGGCCATTGGGCTCGCGATTACCACAAAGCCCCGCCGGCCGAGCCGATCCAGAAGGAAGGTGGCCGCCACGGACCCCACAACACAACCCAGGGGAAAGGCAGCCGCGAAGCTAGCGACGCTCTCATCATCCGCATCAAAGGCCTTTCGCAACCCGGGGAAGAGGTACGGAGTACATTCCTGAGTCATGGCCAGGACCGCCCAAAACAACATCATCCGCAACAAATGGCCTGCATGAAAAGATCCCACAAACAACGCGTCCAAGGCCTCCGTGACGGTCACAGGGTCACGGATGCCATCTTCTGCACAGGTGGCCATGCTACTCCGAGGATCGCTTTGGGCTACTGGAAGTGTTCTTTGAGGACTACCATGGGCTACTGTAGAGGTTCTATGGAAAGTATACCTGGGGCTACTATAAGGCTTCTATAGAAAGATATGGAAAGTATACCTTGGGCTACTGTAAGGGTTCTATGGAAAGTATACCTTGGGCTATTGTAGCGGTTCTATGGAAAGTATACTGTGGGCTACTATAAGGGTTCTATGGAAAGTAAACTATGGGCTACTATAAGGGTTCTATGGAAAGTATACTATGGGCTACTGTAAGGGTTCTATGGAAAGTATACCTTGGGCTATTGTAGCGGTTCTATGGAAAGTATACCTTGGGCTACTATAAGGGTTCTATGGAAAGTATCCCTTGGGCTACTATAAGGGTCCTATGTCCTAAACCCTAAACCCTAAAGTATCTTGAAGTGCAGTGGAGCCTGCTGAAGCTGATTCCCGTGGGTTCAATGCCCTGGAAAGCACGGAAGCCAAACCCGAACGGTCCATGTAACATAGCCGTGTAGCATATACTTTGGCCTTAAAGTATAGCCATAGCCAATATCAGGTACTCTAGGGCCAAAGTATATACGATGTTACTAAATGGGCAGGGAAAGAGCTTCTATCCAAGACCCTGACACGCTGCACGTTTTCGTGATTCGGCAATGCGCGCTGCTGCCTTGAAAATTGGAAAAGGATGAGCGGAAAATCCGAAAAGCCCAGTCAGGGGTTGCCTTCTCTCAAGCTTCGGGTTTAGGGTTTAGGGTTTCGGGTTTAGGGTTTAGGGTTTAGGGGTTTAGGGATTGGGGTTTAGGGTCTAGGGCCGAGGATTCTTCGGGAGAAGATTCCCAGGTATACGCACTGAACATCACTGAACCCAAACCTAGCCCTAGGGCTCCAGTTACCCAAATAATGGGTTT